GAATTAAACAGTGTTGAAAATACAGACTCTTAGCACGATAATGACAAAATTAAAAGAGTTAACAAAACTGACCATTTATTCTTTATTTATTTATGTATTTTATTCCATTGCATATATTTAATTTCATGATCAATTACAGTTAATTGCATTCCCTGTTAGATATCAGGATACATATTTAATAAATGCTAAATGATTATAATTTTAATTTGTTTTTATACAAAAAGAAAGCGGTGAAAATTTCTTCTAACTATTATTTTTTACAGCATTTATAATTTTGTTTATATTTCCTTAAAGTATCTTAGAATAATATTTTCCTATGTTTATGGTATAGGTTAATTCTTAATAAATTAGATTTTTGATGGAATATTTAAATATCACCTAAAGCTATTAAAATTTAGCTATTTAATTTGAATAATATAATTATAAAGAATATTCAAAACTTCACATTGTCATAGGTGCTAAAATTTCATCTGAATACCTTACAAAAGGTAATAATTTATGAAAATATTATCTTTTGTTGTTTTTTTTTATTTTGAATTAATGTTCAAAAAGTGCCTGTAGCGTTGAGCCTTAGTTGTGTTACGAATTTGAAAAAATTATAAAAGGTAATTTTAATTGAACTTTGATAAAAACATTTCTTGTTTGTTTACAGTGAAAAACTCGGTTTTGAATTTGGCTTTAACTTTTTTAGATAGCTCTCTTTTTAGCAGTATTATATTGCTAATAAGATTCCATTGAATAGATTTTAACTCATTGAATGGATTCTATATGAAATTAAGTTCCAAAAATATAAATTACATTGAAATTGAAACCTAATTTCTATTATAAAACATATCTGAAAAAAATGTATTTGCAAGTTACGCATAAAAACATACAATTGTATTTTCTTCAGAGAAGTAAACTACAAAATACAACAAACAATAAACTATACAATAGCATACAAAAAATATTAAATAATGCATTTGTTGAATATATTTTTACGTAACTTGCATTTTAAACAAAAATGCTTTTGAAATAATTCTTTTAAAATTTTTTATGAAATATATAGGTTTTACTTTAATTTTTTTAAATTTAAATTTTTTAATTTGCTAACTAAAATTTGATAAAAATAAGAATGATTTGAACTCATTTCAACTGTAAATTCTGACCTGTAAATTTTAAAAAGTAGTACAATCATTGGCTCTATAGTAAAACTATAGTTTGCGTTACAACCGTTATATGCTTAATACGTTTCAAATCATTATTTTTGAAACGAAAAGAAAACGTAATAGTATAACTTTTCAAACTATTTAATTTTCAAAGTAATTTTTGATTATAGTTATAGAGTTAGTAAAGTTCGGGCAGCTATTAAAGTGTCTGACAAAAGTAGGATTTTGACTTAAGTTTTCAGTCTAACAGTTGGAATTTTGACTATTTAAATATTTTAAACTATTAGTTATATTTCAAAAATGTACTAGAAAAGAGTTTGTACCTCGACACTTAAACTTTAAAGTTTATTTTTAAAAAATCTAACTTTAAAAAAGAGTGGTATAACAAGATATGTTGTCTAATATGAAAAATGTATTTTTAACATATTTCAACTATATTATCTATTTATCTTCACGTTACCTTACTATTGATAAAAAATATAGCTGCCTTGTATAGATTTTAATCACATTGTTCTAAAGAATTCTGCTATCTTTGTATTTTGATATAGTTTGGATTGTCAATTCGGTGGAGAAAAAGGAAATTATCTATAGACTCTATTACATTCAATTTATAAAAATCAAGTAAAACTAAATTATATAAGTGTATGATTGTTAACTTCAATACATTTAAAAGGATTCAAAAATCTATTTTACGTTGAGGTCGTACTTGCAGAATAGTATTATAAACATTAAATGGATCATCTGCTATAATTATATGCATCATGAACTATTACTCTACTTGTCGATATAATGCAGCTAATTATACAGCGATTCTCTGGTTTTAAAGTTTCAAATAATTTCTGAATCTATCATTAAATAAATTATAGTTTACAAAATTTTAGAGCAGCAGAATTCAGAGCTAGCATTTCTAGCGATGTTTGAATATTGTATATACATTGATGGGTTTTAGGAACTGAAGTATTTTGAGATGCAACTTTATTAGATTAGTTTATGTACTATCTTAAATACCTTATATATTCTTTAACTTAAACATATTTATTTAACCATCTTTAAAGGGAGTCTCAAAATTTACGCTGGATTCGAATTAAATAGAACTGTAATTATTCAGTGTAATCGAAAGAAAAACTGTTTTACGGCTGGTAGTTTAGGGTTAGAAAAAAAGCCGTCAATTAAGAACAACGCGTTTTCATCATTGAAAACCCATGAAACCAATCTTAGTACCGAACGAACAGTTTTCTAATCATGTTCTCTCCTGTTTCGGTGATCAGAATTGGCTCCCTAGATTGAGTGCTTTTTTTATGGGGTTATTCAGTGGTGTAAGTATGTCAACAAACCTACTTCCACCAGCATTGAAGGAGGATATTCAACGCTGCATCAATGAAATTTAGCCATATTTATGCAAAATGGTCATGGAAAATTTCAACAAAACCGTGTGCAAGTGCCAGCAAAGCCGTGGAGGTTATTTGCTCAATCTGCTACCTCGTAAAAAACAACCTTTATTCTCTGTACTTCATGTTTCAATAAAAAATATAAATAACTGAAACAATGTGTTTTTTGTTTAATTCAAATCTATAGTAAATTTTAGAACTCCCTTTAGAAGTATTTTTACACAAACAATATACAAGCAGAAATATTTATGATTGAAATATTTAAGTTTAAATTACTTTTTTTTCCGTATTCTTAGTTGATATTGATCCTTTAATATTTGTCTCTCACCAAGAATATCAAACATACAGTACAATAAACAACATTTATTGCAATGTAGAATATTTATTATATAAGCAACATTTGATTAAAATTTTTGTTGTTTTGAATACACTGAGCTTTTAAAGATTTCAAATTATAAAGTATCGATCTGTAGATTGTAATATATTTAAGCATATTTCAATACATTAAGACTTGTAGTTATGTATAGTTTATTGGCAAATGCGTTATTGATAAGTCACTAATTCATAAATAATTTCGAATGTATTGAACTTTTGATAAGTTGTAGATTAAGATATTTAAATCTGCATTGCAATAATCATTTATCGCAAATTATTTTAAATTAAATTTATTGTTTTTCTAATGAAAAAATGCTCACGATTAGGGTATCCGACTAGCTTCAATTTTTTTTCCTTCTAAATATTAATATGAAATTTAAAAGAAACTACTTTATATGCTTTATGATGTGTAAAAAGTTATAAAATTAGCAAACAATAATATTGTTAATTTTTTTAAATAGCATTTTTTGTTAAAAATAAGGCATTCTTTTGCATATACGCTAAACACTGAAAAAAATATTCTATCTCCTAAAGCAAAAATCCTTTGATAATTTTATTTAGAAGGCTATCAACTATGTTTTGAACTATTATGATATAAGCAAGTGCATATACTACTGAGTTAGGGACCAATGTAGTTAAAAAAGCAAATTTTTAAAAATTCCCTCAAGATTCTTTGAAAAAAAAAACATGCATAAAAATAAAATTCCAATTTTTTTCTCAGTCTGTAGTTTAAAACATGTCTGCCACAAAAATAGGAGATATCGTGCTTAAGGTTTTGTAAAATGTGAAAAAATTGCGATAAACGCATTTTAAGATTTGATATCACCAGTCTCTCCATTGTTATCCCCTTGCACAAAAACTGTTGTAACTTTTTAAATAATTGGAGTATAAACAAAAGTAAATGATTTTTGGAAAGCTAAGAGTACATGAATTATAAATTTATAATAAACTCAATTTAGAAAATTTTGTCCAAAATCAGGTTTTTGTACTAGTCAGATACCTTAAAATGTCCTAAGTTGAGTAACGATATTTCAGTTTCTCACAAAATTCTAAGCTTCTAATATTTGAAATTTTTAAGTCACTTAAACCGACATTGCAGTAAAGCAACATGTTTGCAAGGTAACATATTTATTACACGATCAACATTTAAAGATAATTTTTTATGGTTTTGAATACTTAAACTTTTAAGTATTTATAGAATATAAAGTATTGAAAATTTAAGCTCCGACAACAACATTTATTGCAATGTAGAATATTTATTATTAAAACATTATCTATTGATAAATTTAAAGTTTTAATCTTATAAGTTTAGTTTATAAAGCATATAAATATACATTCAATAATTAGAAATGATCTCTCGCTATTTTCAATTAAATTTACTGCTCTTCTAAGTGATTTATTGTGATTAAACTTTAAGTTAAAAATACAGGACTTTTTCCCCTCAGAACTTAAAATTTCTATATTTGTAGGTTATAAGAAATTGAACTCCACATTGCTATGAGCAACATTTATTGAAATTTTGAATATTTACTACAGACATAATATTAATTGATGATGTTTGTTTGTCATGAATTTTTAAATGAATTTTATTTGAAAATTTAAATATTCGAATGTTTGGAGATCTAAATATATTGGAACTAACCATAGAAAAAACATTTATTGCAATGTAGAACATTTATTATGTGAACGACATTTATTAATAATTTGCAGTTTGTTTCATAAACCGTCTAATACTTGCATGTTATAAGATATTGAAATCTACATTACCATACATGATATTTATTATAATGCAGAACTTTTATATCATATTAGCAATTCGTTTCGCATATATTATACTTATTTGTATTATATAAATATTTAAATCTACATTGCAATAAATAACATCCATCTTATACCTATTCTTAACTATATTTATTGTACTTCTAATATAATTGTTTTTAATTAAAGTTTAAATCGAATTACAACACTATTTTCTCTAAATATTAAATTTCCTATATTTGTAGGTTATAAGACATAGAAAAAACCATATTGCAATAATGAATATTTATTTCAATGTAGAATAATTACTACTGAAATAATATTTATTGATAATTTTTGTTTTGTTTGCATAAATATTTGAAAATTTAAATATTTAAATATTTGAAGATCATAAAGTACTGGAGCTCACATTAGAGAAAATAGCAATTATTGCCATGCATAACAGTTATTAAGTAAACGACATTTATTAATAATTTATAGTTTGTTTCATAAACCATCTAACACTTGTATATTGTAAGATATTTAAATCTACATTGCAATACATGATATTTATTTCAATGTAGTATTTCATGATATATTGGCAATTTGTTTCGTATGTATTATACTTATTTGTAGGTTATAAGATATTTAAATCTACATTGCAATAAATAACATTCATCTCACACTATTCTTAACTAAATTCATTGTACTTCTAATATGATTGTTTATGATTAAAGTTTAAGTTGAATTACAACCACCTTATTTCTCCGAATATTAAATTGAATTTCCTATATTTGTAAGATATAACATCTTGAAAACTACATTGCAATAAGCAATATTTATTGCAATGTAGAATATTTACAACTGAAATAATATTTATTGACAATTTTTGTTTATTTTGCATAAATATTTGAAAATTTAAATATTTAAATGTTTGAAGATCATAAAGTACTGGAGCTCACCTTAGAAGAAATAACATTCTTTTGCCATCTAGAACAGTTATTATATAAACGACATTTATTAATAATTTATAATTTGTTTCAAAAAGCATTTAATACTGGTATATTATAAGATATTAAAATCTACATTGCAATACATAATATTTATTGTAATGTAGAACTTTTATGATAATTATTCGCAATTTGTTTCGTATATATTATACTAAATTGTAGGTTATAAGATATTTAAATCTACATTGCAATAAATAACATTCATCTCACGCGACTCTTCAATAAATTTTAATCTTCTAATCAACGCTTAGGCCATTAAATGTGGTGCAGATCCCAGAGATAGCACTGTGGATGCCACAGTAAATACAGTGAAGCTAATCAGACAAATTCTATCGACAACCATGGCCGCAAATTGCCAGTCTGACACAACTTCTGCGTCTATATCATCCTTCCGGTATTTGGAAGTAATCGTTTTAAGCTCCCGTAAAATGGCAGAAAGTTCTACATCAGCGTGCATGCATGTATGGACCATGGATCCATGATTCGATCCTCCAATAAGAACATTAGAATAGCCTCGATCGGTCTGCCCTCTTTGCAATGCTGGGGATGATGAAGATGTTGCATTACCTGCTCGAAAGTCTTCCTCTCCGCTTGCACCACCGCCATCTATGATATTAGTGAGAAGGGTTCTGGATGAACGTTCTTTAAGCTCCATTTCTCTAATTTTGGTACTCCTGAAGAGATCCCTTCTGGTGACCTTGTGGCCAGGTCTTTGCATTCTGAGTAACCACGGTAGCCATAAAAGAAAGATTTTTCTAATCTGTGAAATAAAGTTTTGAATATAAATTGAATAGTTATATTAATAGTTAAAGCAAGATAACCCTATAACAATAAGATAACATCTACTGATATTCACAAATACTGCTTTATTTGCGAAGGTACTTCAAGAAACTAAATATCTTATAAATGCCTTAAATATTTCTCATATAAATGCCTTTACTTATCTTTCCATTATAGGTGTCTATATTCTATGGTATAGTGCAGTGATTCTCAACCTTTTTTGGAGGGCGGCACACTTTTAACAATTTCGACATTTGACGGCACACAATGAAAAAAATTAGTTTATAAGTTGTTTACATACCTATAATCCACTGTGTTAAATATTTTGTGATAATAATTTTGAATGTGAAATAAAATAATATGTACTACAAAAGCGCGTTTATTAAGGGATTAATGATTTTTTTCGACTAATTTTTCATTAGTTAGTAGCAGGTATTTTTTTTTTGCTAGTTATTAATTGTTAGCTTGTTTTCTATATGTATTAACTGTTATTTTTTGTGATTTCTTGTCAACTAGTTTTTTTGCTGATTATTAATTGTTAGCGTATTTTTTTGTCAGTTATTCTTTGTTAATTTGTTTTTTTAACTTTTAATTTCGTAGTTTACTTTAATGATTAGCTTTTATTTAAGTTTGAAATTCAATATTTAGCTTGCTTTCTTTTGTTAATAAATAATTTTAATAATCATTAAATTTCATACTTATTTTAAAATTTTTTAAAATTGTCAAAGACAATTTAAACACTTCCTTCTTATTTTAATTTATTTTAAGACTGTCAGAAACAAGACNCGCTCTTGGTGATTTTAATGCTAAAAACGACATATTGGGCTGTAGAAAAGTTAACAAACTTATAAGACAACTGCACCAGCTCATTAAAGAATTCGGACTCACAGTCTACGCTCCTGAAAAACCCACCTATCTCCATCATAGTGGAATGCAATATTTATATATATACACTTTTCCTTAATTTAAACTTTACTCATAATAAAAAAAGCATTGTAATTGTTATTGTATCTTTTCTAATATTTGGCTGCACATTTTTAGAATTTGGCGGCACACAAAAGTGCCGCGGCACACTGGTTGAGAATCACTGGTATAGTGATTCTTTTTATTATTCATCTGAGCCTGTGATGTATAGCTTGATTTGACAAATAAATCAGAAAAGTAGGACTCTATTTTTATTAATTTAGAAGTCTTTCATTTTGTTATTTTATTTTATTTTCTCACAAGGCGGAATAGAAAATAAATAAAATGATCGTGAAGTGTAGAATAGAAAATTCTTAAATAAACAGATTCTACATTCATATCACATTTATTATCCGTTATTTCATCCGAAACGTTGTAGTTGATTCGCTCTATATTTATCTTTATATTTATTTCTGTATCTATATCGTAATATTATTAATCTACTCACACTTGCATGCATAGGTGAACCTTAGAGAACTCCGGAAGGAAATTGCTAGAACATTTACTAATGAATGTTTTGTTTTGGATACGAGTAACATTCTATAAGGGTTTAGAGCTAACTACCAGAAGAAACCAGAATGAAAATGTTAGCTTACAGCTTGCAAACAGGAACGAAAAATTAATTTAAAGGTTAAAATCGAAACTAAATTAAAAATAAAAGAAAGATGCTAAAAGGAGCTTTAGACAGTAATTAAAGGAAGTATGGAGAGAAAATGAGTGATGAACAGCTGAAAGTTAATAAACTATGTGTAAAGTTGATATAAAATTAGAATTTTCAATATAATGAAAAATTATTATTTTGAATAATTTTCATTGATACAAAGTTTTACTTCAGAAGAACTTTAGCGTAAATGTGGATCAGGTTTTATTCTTTTCTATACAATAGAATATCCTTCAATTCAAGTTATATATCTGTATTTTTATTTGCATTTTCACTTTCTCTAAATTCGACTAATTAAAAGCTTTAAAATTGCTAAATATGGTGAAATCAAAATTTTGTAAAATTTAGTAAACATAATTATGTTGTTTTCTTTCAATCAGAAGTGCAATTACTTTACAGTACGGTAATTTTAGGAGATTTGTTTTCTTTGTGTAAATGTGTTATTAAACTATAAATGTAATTGTAGATCAAAGTATTGTAAATATGCGATTAAGTATTCTGAGAAACTACTTTTTAGACTATATAATGGATTTTAAAAATTTTCATATCAAATTATGAAAAAGCGGAATCTTAACGAAAAATATACTAAAAGACTTAAATATGCAATTGACATGGGTCATTTTCAAAAGCCTTGTGCCTCTTGAGTTAAAGTAATTTTAATTGCTGAAATAAAGCTTTAAATAAAATAATTAAGCATTAAAATTAACTTACTAAATGATTTTAATAAATACACAGATACATAATAATTACTTAATAATAATTATGTGATAGTTCTTTAATACGTCAGATATAACTAAATTGCCATGTACCAGCATTCTTTGCTTCCTATTTAGCTGCAATTCAACTGTTAATTGATAATAATTTGAACTAATCTAGCTGTGAAAATTGTGTTATATGTAATATTTATCATAGTTTATATAATATACAGTTTAAAAATTAATTTTAAGTAAAACTCAAAGAGATTAATGTTGTCCCGGGAATTTTTGCATTTAATTATTGAATTAAATTCTTTCTGTTGAGTTAGTGAAAATCTATCCCATGGTACTATTTTTAAGTATCCCTGGATGTACTATTTTTAAATAAGGTAACCATTTTGAAAATTGTCTTTAATTTGCTCTATTCTAAGAAAATAAATCTTTAACAAGAGAAGGACGTCTTATGAATTTTTTTCTCTGCTATTAGCATAATTGTTTTAAATTTATTCTTTCAATATTCATCGGATTTTTTCATGGAAAGATTAAATTACGCTTTTTAGTTTTGCTTAAACATTTCTTCTTTTCAACTGAGACTGTCCAAGTAAATAGTTTGGCATTTTCCCCCATTCTTGTACTCTTTCACTGTGTTACCATGCTCATTGTAGTTAACAGTAAATGTAGATGATTTTACGTTAAAAATATCCTTCATCGATTTTTATTTTGTAATTGCAGTGCTTTTAATTTATCTGATTGCATCTCAACTATAAAATAAGAACTTTAATTTTTTTCATGTTTTTCTTTTAAAGCTAAATTTTAGATAGTAATATGAGGAAGATTTCTTTCAACTTAAACTTCAACTTAGACTGTTCATTTAGTATTTAATTATATTTTAAATTTATTTAAATAAATATAGGTAGGTATCAATATTTGTATAACTAAAATTCAATTATTTGCAATACAAGAACATTTAAAATTTAGCTCTACAAACAGCTCCTGTATCTTTTATTTTTTCCCACTATGTTACCTACCATTTATTTTATTAACTAAGCTTCGCTATAAAGGTTAAAAAAGGAATTTCATTGATTAGAAGTGTAAATTTGACAAGAGTGTAAGTTATGTAACATTTCAAAAAAATAACATTAACTTGAAATATAAAATGATCGATAGAATGAAAGCTTACAATTTTTAATAAGTATCAGCAGGATGTAAATTTAATTTTTATCATTTATAATAATATAAATAATTTTTTATTTAAGCATATTTCAGCATTGATGAAAGAGAAAAACATGAGGCACATTTAAGTTGATGCCTTATTTTATGTTCCAAATCAAAAAGTGCACTGCTGTTTTAGGTTTTACATGCCTGAAACATTCCAACTACAGCTAAAATGCTTGAAAGTAATAAAACACACTTGGAATAAATTTTTGAATGAAATTTATTCCAAATGCCTTTCCATTTACAAAATGACCCATATACTAAGCAAATGCAACATAGTAAATAAATAATCTCAAGAATCTGAAGTGGTAAGATATTACTTGATTAAAATAAACTTCCTAGGCTTTAAAAATAAGCAGATGGAAATTAAAATCAATATGTTTCAAGCGCTCAAAAATTGGCTCCCATTATCAAGACTTGCCAGACGTGAATGCGAAGAAATGAAAGTGATTTAAAATATCGCTGACAACTTTACGTTTTATATTTCAAATCCCACTCACCGAGTCGTGGTGGATCAGGAGATACAGCACTTGCCTGAAAATGAGGTAATCCGGGTTCGAATTTCAGCAATGGGTGAGATTTGAATTTAGCACCCGTCTCGCAACGACCAAAGTGCTGAAGAAAAATATCCTCAGTGGTAGAAGGATTGTGGGTTAGAGTCCCCTTACCGTTAGGCTAACGTGACTTTCTTCTCCATGTAACGCAAATGCGGTTAGTTTCATTAAAAGCTCCTCCAAGGAGGGAAATTTTTCCTAATAATTGATCCAGTAGTTTCCTTGCCTTTGGAACGAGTTCAAAATTACAAGGCTGCGGAGGTGAACATTGGCAATCATTAACTCAAAAATTGGGTCGACTCTTCCATGACTGTCATAAAATATAGTCCCACTTACGTCTGGCAAGTCTAGAGAATGAGTGCCTATTTTTGAGAGCTTGAAACATATATGTCGACTTTTATTTCCATATACATATTTTTAAAGCCAATTAAGTCTTTTTTAATCAAGTAAATACAACATGGCTAAGAATCTAATATTTGTTTATATTTTTTAAATATAAAAACTGAGAAAATTTGAGAATCCTAAAAGTTTCTTCTTTGGAAAATATTCAGAAATAAAAAATTGGTTTTATGAGTAATATTTCCTAAAATAATTAAAAAGGGTTTTATAATTGCTTTAATTCATTCGATAATATGTTTTTCTAACATAGGTTTTGATTTTTTAAAAACTAGAGAATATCAATTTAAAAAATACTAATAAAATAAGTGCTTTTCCAATAATTCTTCGATAAAAAAACTGCTTTAAATATGTGAATAAGTCTTCAACAGTAAATATTTAAGAAATGATATTTATAGCAGCATTTTTCGTGCAAATATTTTTTAGAATTATAAAAGCTTTCATAAAAACCAAATAAATTGAAGTTTACAAGTGCTTTGTTTTTGTTTGTCGCAGA